CTGGTCGTGCTAATGTTGTCTTGTGTTCACCTCTGCATGTGTGTTCTGTGTTCACCTCTGCATGTGTGTTTGTTTAGTGCCGTGTGTCTGGCAAATAAAGTCAAGACCCCCTCAAAAGTTACGGTTTATTTCATTTTAAGGATGAGCACCAAGCAACATCTCCAGGTGCTCCTTTGAGAACCAGCGCAAAAAAGTTATGTGCACCCCTGGTTATTTGGCCTGGTTATGCCGATATCGGCGAAGGTTTGGAATTCCGGAATTGTTTGTAACGTGCACAGCTGTGATCACTGATCAGGCACCACGTCAGAGACAAGATTGACATTTGTGAATACTGTTGTGTGCATATTGGAACATGTGAAATGAGTGATAACAACGAAAATGAGGATGGAGTGGACAGTGTGTTAAATATTGGAAACAGAAATAGCAAATGTACTTTTCATGGCTCAAGATAGGCCTATCAAGAACTGCATCTGCTTATATAAAAGCTCAGGCGGAAGTGGCCACCCTGTTGGTTTTACAAAATATACCTAAAAAGAAACATGCTTTGGAAAAACAGGAACATGAGCTGAGGAGAAGAAAAGAACAACTGGACCTAGAAGGAGACATCGCCGCCACCATGGCCAAAATGAAGGTTCTTGCTGCATCAAAGAAATCCAGTGTTCCGAGTAGCTCTACTACAGGATCTGATGGCAAGCAGTCATATTTTAGAGACGGACTTAAGGAAAAGAAAACCCTTCATATCAACGCAGATCCTTTAGTACCCCAGCCACAAGTTATATATACATCTACACCAATCATTCCAGAGCACAGTGTAGCTAATCTAAAAACATCAACAATAACAACCAAGGACAGAGCTAACACTGAAATCATCACATCTACCATAACAAGTGGCCTTACTGGGGCTGGTGAAGGGGACTGCAAACTCATGCCCCGGCCACACGAGGACGAAAACGGCTAAACGCATAGGATTAACGCAATCGCAAAAAAGCTTCCGTCCACACGCAATAGTCATCCGGATAGTGTCTGTCCACACGAGACAGCTCCGTTTAGCTCCAACCGCTGGAGAAGCTGCAGTACATATGCAGGAGCCTGTACGTGGCGCTGTAACTTCCTCCACAAAAGCAGCGAAGAAGCATGGTTGTCATGGTTGCCCTTCTGTTTATTCTCCGCGGTGGGGGCAGAGGGAACCGGGCAGAGTTTTTCGCCAGTCAACGTGTATTAAAGTTGAAATCTTCTGGACAAAATTATAAAAGTGCCGGTCAAAGGTCTTCTTTGTTATTTATTGAGCTTTAAAACAAATGAATAACGAATCTATATAATATAATAAAATACACGGAGCCTCTCTTTTTCCTCCCTCTCTTCGGACAGCGTCAGTGTCTGTTTCATGCAGCAGCTGATCCAGTAATAAGTAACCCGGCCAACAGTAAAAATAAACATATTTCTAACTAGTTTAGGTAGTTTGAGAGGTGTCTCCGTCCTGTCAGATTAGACTTCACTCGCGTTTATGTCCATATCAAGAGAAAGATAAATAATCTGAATTCAGTGTGCAGTTTACTTTGACGCGGGGGTGAGCAGCAGAGGTGGGGAGAGGCGGGGCTATTGCCTCATCATTATCAGAAAATGATCGTATAGGGCGTACACACGGAGCCGTTGGACCCCCCAGAGCGTTGCTTATGCCGTTCTATCCACCTTGGGACCAGTTATCGTTTCCGCAGTCGTTTAGTGCTGTATTCGGTCGTCCTCGTGTGGCCGAACGGTCTATATGACACTAAACAGTAACGCAAACGACCGTTTTCGTCCTCGTGTGGCCGGGGCATCAGTCAGTGATGGGTGCCAGCAGGACATCTGTAGTGAAAGTGGATATGCTGTGGAAACATCAATTTAAGATACACTATCCTGAAGGTGGCAGAGACATCCAGAGACTTTCCAAGGAAAATCAACGGTTCCGGGATCCAGCCTTAAAATCTGCCAAACTATTGGAAGGACCAATCACATTAGATTGGAAAAGGACAAGGAAAAAAGGACTTGTACTTGGGATTCAGATGAAGACAAATAGTGGCTTTCTGAACATACCCCTCAGCCAAGTACGCCTTGTTCATGAGGCAGAGAAACTTTTGCCATGTCTAAATCATTTTCCATTTTTTACCTTGCTCCCTTGCAAGCAGGGGCGGACTAGCCATCGGGACGTTCGGGACGAATCCCGATGGGCCGGTACTGAAGTGGGCCGGTCGGACGATGTGGGCCGGCCGGTAACCGGCAGGGCTCGACATTAAATGGCCCGCTGGCCCGGAAGCACTATTTAGACACCCCGGGCCAGCATAACGTACTTTCCACTTGCCCGCTCGGGCCACTAAAAATATTGCTTTAAAAAGATTGTCCTGTGGTATTGGTATTTTGAGTAGCAATTTAGTAAACTGTTTCGTTTATCAACGCTACAACATAGCGTTCTCAGTGAGTACAAGTACAAGTACACCTTTTCTGAGTCGGTTGTCGTTGTTGGGTGAAAAGCAAACAGCTGTTTGCTGCAGAGCGCAGCAGGAGCAGGCTCCCGTGAGCGATAGCGCGCTCCTTCACTACAGACTATCGCGCCACCTAACCATTCGCCAAATGTTTTTGATACCAGCGGTAACCGGCCAAGCGCCGGGCAAAAAACAATCTTCAAATAAAAGAAAGTCACCGGAGGAGTTAAAGGAGAGTGACAGGGAGTATGAGAAGAAGAGGGAGAGAAAGTTTCAGCCTGCTTGATCGATGGAGTTGGCTGCAGTGACGCATCCTAAAACCCTTTTATAATCTATCGATTAGATTTATGATTAGAAAATTATAAAAGTAGGGTAGACATGTGGAGATTATCCGGCTGAACAAAACGTGCATTTATCAAACAGGTTTGTTTTCCACAGACCTTATTTCCAGCTATTTTCCAAAACCCTTTTCGAGGGAACCAGCAGCTTACTTCCTGGTTTTAGGAAGCGTCACTGGCTGCACCTCTCAATATGATGCCAATATAAACGAGGTCTTCTGTCGGCTCTGTACATCAATGCCGACCTATGCTGACAAGTAAGTGAAGAGTAGACAATATAAAGGTATTGGTGAAATGTCCCAGCAGTTTAGGATAATGAAGGTTCTAATCAAATCAATTACATAGCCATTACATGTCTAACTCCTAATGACAGGAAGGCAGAAAGTGCATTATACAAATAATAATAGGCTACTCATAATGGCAGACATTTTTTAACAATGACCAGAATATCATTATTTTAATAAACCAAATATGAACAAATGAGGAAGAACTGATGATTAAAATGTTGTAGTACAAGTAGTAATGTAGTTAATGCATAAATTACTATTGCAACAAATGTGTTAATTTTCTTCATTATTAGTCGATTTTTTTTGGACGAATGGTTACAATGGTGGGGCCAGTGATAATACAAGTCCACCGGCCCGGAGGTAGACATTATTTACCCTTAATGTCTACCGCTAGTAAATTGTCTACCCCCCCCCCCCCGTATTTACTTGCGGTGGGCCGGCGGTACCGAAGTGGGCCGGTCGAGAGTCCCGGGCTGATTTGTAGTCCCAGTCCGCCCCTGCTTGCAAGTGACTATTTTTGCCCCCTGCACACACAATACTACACACAGCAGACTTGATTGCTTGTATACTGATATATGAATACTGGATGAAAAAAATTATGATCTGCATATCATTAGAATATACTGTGTTTTATTGTAATTTGTTTTGAATAATTATTATAAATTGTTATATAATAATTAGGGGCCGGAATGTAGGAGCCATAATGCTTGTTTTGCAATTACTTATTACTTCTATTTTTATCTTCATTTCTGTTTGCATCACGTTTAATTATTATTGTTTATCACTTAATGGTCACGTGGGTGTGGTTTATTGGTATTTAGTCACCTGTTGGATGCCGGTTTGGAAAACTGCATTTTAAATGTTAAAGGTCAACGTTTCAATGTATGGTTCAGCAATTGTTGGTCGTTTACTAGGAATTGACATATTTTAAGCTCAAATACTTTGTGCTATGTTTAAACCTTCAGACACATTTTGACGTGTTTCAGTTCAGCACATTTATTTTGTGATTTAAAAGTACAATCCAGAATAATATACATCGCCTTTATCTTTTTGCCATCTTAGCCTTTTGACCAATTTCTTCATATCACAGTTTTGCATAATGTCACAGTGCTTCTCAAAGTGTGGTCCGCGGACCACTGGTGGTCTGTGAGCGCCCCCTAGTGGTCCGTGAGTATATTGGTAACATTTCACATTTGAAATAAATACATTTAAGTTTTCCGCACTCTCGCGGGAATATTTCCGCAATGGAACGAGCTTAAGTTTCACTTTATATTGCATGATAAAGCCCAGGGCAACACCTTCGTCACACATGTTGCCACTTGTTTGTACCATTTCCAGGCGATTTATAATCTGTTCTAGAAAAACGATGTGTTTTGGGATATTTGTGGAGTTAGGTGGTCCGCGAGTGGTTTTTTATTGGTTAAGTGGTCCTTGGTATGAAAAAGTTTGAGAAACACTGCGTAGGACAATGTTTTAAGGATCTCTTGTCGAGCTAGGTTGTCAGTTTGAAATGTCTGGATGAAGATGTAACTGATTTACAAATGTTAAAACATCCATCCATCCATCCATCCATCTTCTCCCGCTTATCCGTGGTCGGGTCGTTAAAACATTTTTTTTTAAATGCCTCTTTTCTTCCTCTGTCTGAGAGAAAACCCCAACAAGCATGATAGGGCGAGCCAGGCCCCTTTAAGTTATTTTATTTATTTTTGTCTGCTTCTGAGAAGCTAATGTATAAGTTCTACAGTTATTTCTGCAAGAAAATTACAATAAAATGACTTTTTAATCTTGTATTCATGTCTATAATTTTGAGCACCAAATTATTGAAAAGTATCGATAAAATCCTAACGATACCCATCCCGACTCATTTCTCTGTACAATCTTATAATGACCCTCTGATTGTTCTCATGTTTCTTCAGGGAATGACCGTTCGGCGGGAAGGCTTTGTCCCTCCAGGTAAACGGCACTAGAAGAATAAAATGATTATAAAACGTTATCCATTCCAATCTTTATGTCGTATATAACCTCTGTATCGTGCTGTGTAGATGATGACTGCCAACTGAGAGATGCCAGCAGTCAGAAGATCCCCAGACTCACTGTAAAGGTACCTGAACGCAGCACGCATTCCTCATACCTGCAGCACTCATTCACACGTCTCCAGGAATTCAGTGACTCGTGTCATGAGATGTGAAGACGGGCGGTAGAGCCAACGGTTCAACAGCATAACACTAAAAGTGATATTGTTAAAAAGATGGTTTATACATTAAACGGATAACGTTTTTTAGTCCTGCAAACATTGTTATAAAATGTTGGCTTTCTACAGGATGAAAAACCAGTAGTAGTTTGGAATCTTTTGGACATTTTATTTATTTATGAACCTTTTTTTTGTCTTGTATTTCAGACCAGAATGCATTGCTTAAGCCTCCTGAAGGAAGCATTATATGGCCACCAGAGGGCAGATGACACGTTCAAGTAATTACACAGACACATTCTTTAAATACAGTATGTTATTTTACCCCACAGTCTTTCATATCTTCTCCGTTTCTCCGCAGTGACACCGTTTCCTTAGCAGTCAACACAGAACTCGATCTTTTTGAGAAGAGCAAATCTTCAAACCTGTACAAAGCTGCCATCCTGAAGAAGGTAAACACTGACTGCTCTTCCTCTCACAGAATCAGGAAGATACGTTTCTAACATGTGTTTTATTGTTTGGAAGGTATCGGATATCAAGAAGACAGGACCTGGAGAAAGAGGCGATGACGGCAAGGCGGGCAGCAGTGATTCTACGGAATATTCGTCGTCTTCTTCCTTTACTGAGAAGCAGCAGGGGTTCACCTCTGCTTCTGAAATACACTCGGTAAGATCTACTTGCACTCACTCACACTTATGTTACCAAGTTACGCTGGTTAGTGCGGCTAGAGCAGCAGCAATTTGTTGAACAATTGCTAAGTTAATAGACGGAAAAATAATTGGTTAATCGCTTGATTAATTTCCATGAAAAAATGGCAAAAGATGCTGTTTTCAGACATCAAAAGGTTCAGTTCCTTCTTTTTAAATTCAAATCAGATTAAGATGGTAGAGATTTAAAGATCTCCTCCCTGCTTGCATGCAAACACGAAGGCATGATGATATTGCAGACAGAAGTGTAGAAAAAAGGATTGATTTGGTATCAATTACAAACCAGTTTGAATTGAGTATAATTGATTATATTAATGTAATGACTTATAAATGTGAATTTGTAACTCATTTAAAAATAGTAGCGGAAAATTACGAGAAGGGGAAGTTTGAGCCACATGTTCAGAGTCTTGATGTAAAAGAGATACGGCTGTGGGCGCACACACATCACACACTAACCGTCAAGAGTAAGTGAAAAGCACACATTCACCAGCAATTTCTCAAATAAAAACATTTGTTTAGATCTATCATCTATCCCATGATGATTGTAGCCACCAAAATCAAAGAGTAGTAAAACTGAAAATTAATAAAACAAAAAATGTTAACTACTGAATAATAAAAAGCAATATATAGCTCCAACAATGTTTTTTGTTTAACTCCTTACTTAAAGGTGGGGTAGGTAAGTTTGAGAAACCGGCTCGAGATACACTTTTGGTTATATTCCATGGAATGCTCTTAACATCCCGATAGCAATGAATATCTGAAGTGCTTTGACAAAAAATCCATAACAATTTTTCATCTGTGGAAGACGTAATACTGTAAAAAGTACAACCAATCGATTGGATTGCCGCCCTGTCTGTCAGCCTTCCATCTCGTGCACGCACAAATGTATCTCGTGCCCTCATTGGGCGTGCATTGCAGCAGTACTTCGATGACTCGCCAGCAACAGGCGGCCACTTTCACCAGTCTGCTGACGTCATCTGCGCGTCTGTGTGTGTTGGAGGAGGTGCTCTGTAAGGAAGTCTGAAGGAAGGGGCGGATTCTTTTCGGCTGTGTACTTTCAAATTTTAGTGCACTCGAGCCGGTTTCTGAAACTTACCTACCCCACCTTTAAGTGAGCATCTGAAAGGACTTTGATGGAAAATGTTCAGGTATGAAATGAAAGGATCAAACATGGAGAGGTTAACTATTTACCAACCACTTGTGGACTACAATTTGAACTATCTGAGTACTCACTTTTTCAACATGGATCAAGGACTTTAACACATTTTAGATAATGGGTAAGATCCGATTTTCTGATCTGGTCATGATATTATTCGAATTTGACAATCTGGGATTGACATTTATGTTGTGGAGAAACCTCTGAAGTTGTGCCGGATGTCTTCGAGATCTTCACAACACTATGTTAACACTTATTTAACTTTCAAAAAATCAACAGTCAAAAGAGTTCCAATAGAATAGAGTTTACTGAAGGTCAGAGTACAGCAAACACGAGTCGGTCCATGGAGTGACTGGCTTTACAATGTTCAGGCTTCTTCTTATATTAATTTCTTACCAGTTGTTATGCCTTCTCACGTGTAGGAGGGTCTCAGGCCCTCCTTCTTAACCTTGACTTTCTCTATCACGTAGACACCATTATTTCTTCCACCATCCTGAATTCCCCTACGCAATCATACTTTGTTTGATATTTCGGCATAGATTATCTTTAATGGTGTTGTTTACGTTCTGGCCTAGGTCATTTTTAATGGTGTTTTGACCATGCTATCTTTATCTTTAACTCCCTTCCTAACTAAACAGGTGCAAGGATTCCCATAATGAGAACATTCCACCGATGAACAGTTAACATTTATGAGCATGTTTGCTTTCAATGATTAGGGTTGTTATATAATATGTCCCATACACACAAATCAAATCCCACATTTGTCAATGTTCTCTACATTTTAAAGACCAAACAATTACTTGATTCATCTAGAAAATGATCAGCAAATGAATTGATGATGAAAATAATCTTGGCAGCAGAGTGTTCGGATATAAATGTTTTATTTTTGCCTATTCAAGATTCAAAGGTTTTATTTTCATATGCATAAAGCTACAGTGTAGAAATGGCAATGCAATTCTTCTGACCTGACCTCCTCCAACAATGCACCATATATAATAATATACAAAAATACAAAATAAAAAGTAGTGCAAAAAGTCTATATACATGTCAATAGAATATGGGATATGTACAAGAACAGAATATTAAATTAAGACAGAATTAAATACGGTTTATTGCGGTGATAACTATTTACAGTATATCAATTAGTAGATTGCAAGATGACAAACAGGAATGTTTATTGGGGCACTTAGCAGAGCTCAGGTGTTTAGCAGTCTTATGGCCTGTGGGATAAAACTGTCCCTGAGTCTGGTGGTTTTGTTTCCTCCAGATGAAGCGTAAGAGATTTGGCGCGGGCAACATCCTCCAGTACTTTGCAAAGAAAGACACACCGGAGAAGAGCCAGCAGGAGGAGGAGGTGGTACCTGATAATACTTCAATATCTCCTAACACGGTGGAGGACGATCATGAACTCGATCGACCACTTTTCATTGGGGATGAAATGGAGATAAGTTCTGGAGAGGAGAGGAAAGAAGAAGTCATCTTAATCTCTGATAATGATGAGGAGGAAACCCATCCAATAGACACGCTGGAGGTGACGTGGTTTCAGTACATACCCGCAGAGGATATCGCCACTCCTGCAGGGTAAGACGCCCTTAAAGGTGGAAAAGTACTTATTTTACTTAAGTCAAAGTAGCAGTACCATTATGTAGACAAATGTCAAAGTCCTGCATTCAAAAATGTAATTAAAAGTACAAAAGCACCAGAGTGCCCATTTCAGAATAATATTTATTATAATTACAAATATAAGCCTTAATGCATTACTTTGTTTATCTCTCTGATGTAGCAGCTGGTGAGCATATTTTGAACGTTAAAGGGGCCCATCATGCTCATTTTCAGGTTCATATTTGTGTGTTGTGCCTCTCCTGTGACATGTTGACGTGCTTTAATGTTCAAAAAGGTCTTAATTAACTTATAATAATACATACATGTTTCATTTGTTGATTACACTTTGTATTATTAATCTGAATCACACAGACAGAAGGAAACTCAGGAAGAGGATAAACCTATTCTGATAGAAGAGGTAAGTGTGTGTGTGTGTGTTTCCTCTCCGATCTGAAGATGTATCTCCCGTATCTCAGTGACTGATTGTGTGTGTGTGTGTGTGTGTGTGTGTGTGTGTGTGTGTGTGTGTGTGTGTGTGTGTGTGTGTGTGTGTGTGTGTGTGTGTGTGTGTGTGTGTGTGTGTGTGTGTGTGTGTGTGTGTGTGTGTGTGTGTGTGTGTGTGTGTGTGTGTGTGTGTGTGTGTGTGTGTGTGTGTGTGTGTGTGTGTGTGTGTGTGTGTGTTCAGGTGACGGGTGAGGTGACGTCGCAAAAAGCGCCCTCTCCTCCGGCGAAGAGCTGTGACCCCTCAGAGAGAGGGTAAAGATTGAGCATTTCTTCAAATCTTTAATCTTATTATTATTATTTCAACCAATAGTTTGCCGTCGAATAACTTAAGCCTACTTTCAGCTACAGAAACCATTTCAAATATCAAAATGTTCAGCCTTTTCAGGACATGATGGGAAACTTTCAACCTTTTCAAAATATTTTATACATTTGGAAATATTCAGCTTTTTAAACTCTTTTTTTAACATGTAACTCAATGGGAGGAACCTTCAAATCCTCTTTTAGCTACACCTTGCGCCAAATGCTACTCCTTCCACATACTTTCAGCTAGAGACTTAATTCCAACTTTAAAATGATCACAAGACATTCAGCTATAAAACTTGTCCTTCAGATTTTTCATATCTTTTACACTTTTTGAGATATTTAACTTAGTTTGGAGCTTGGCAAAGAGGCTTTCTTCAGATTTTAACATGAGTGTGTATTGCGCAACTCGTTAAGGCTAGAGTGCGTGATGTCACAGCTAGAGTGGAGGACAGCTTGAAATTCATATATATTTTTTAACATAAAAAACGTAGGAACACCTCTCCTGGAAAGTACACAAAAAGCACCCTTCAGATGCTCAGAGTTCTTGAGATGCTTCACGCGTTGAAATTTCACCGATATCTGCTACTTAAATTCAGCTATTTCAGGACATTGAGGCTATACATTTTGTTGTTTATACCTTTTTAAAACATTATCTTTTAAATATTAAGCTTCTTCACTGTTTCCTACTCTTCCAGTTTAACATTTCACTTTCACGTTTTCAACAAAGTCATTGCAATGTATTTGAGCTGTAACAACTAAAAGCAGCTACCATCCAGCTAATAAAATATTCAGCTTTTTCTGCATTTTCAGCTAAATTCAGCAACAAATGTACACAGTTTACAGCATTCACGCGCATTTTCAGCAGGAAATGCATTTTCTAGTAATACATACATGTTTCATTTGTTGATTACACTTTGTATTATTAATCTGAATCACACAGACGGAAGGAAACTCAGGAAGAGGAGGAACCTATTCTGATAGAAGAGGTAAGTGTGTTTGTGTGTGTGTTTCCTCTCCGATCTGAAGACGTATCTCCCGTATCTCAGTGACTAATGGTGTGTGTGATTTCAGGTGACTGGTGAGGTGACGTCGCAAAAAGCGTCCTCACCTCCGGCGAAGAGCTGTGACTCCTCAGAGAGAGGGTAAAGATTGAGCATTTTATTAGTGCGAATGCTGTGCAACAGTTTTTCTACACCTCACACTCCCTAAAACCACACACCCCTTCAAAAGAAAAGCCCTATAGATATAATGCTACTTGAACCTATACTACGTGCATCTGATATGTAATTCCTTCAGCCTACTTTCTGCTACAGAAACCATTCAACTATTAAAGGTCCCATGTCATGGCCATTTCTACTGAACATAGTTCCATTGTTGAGAATACATTTATATTGTGCAATTTTCCAAACTCACATTGGTTTCTCAAACAGCATCTCTGCATATTATGTGTATTCACTCTGTCCTACACGCCTTGTTGGAGCTCCTGCCCCCCCCCCCCTGTGAGCCCACTGTGCTCTGATTGGTCAGCTCACCCACTCTGTTCTGATGAGTCTACCAGCGGAACATCAGTGATTATGTGTTACCATGGCGTTAGCAACCAGTAATGACAAACAGATGGGAATGCTGCGTGGGGTCTGGGTGCCATGTTGGCGGGACGTTGCGCGGCTCGCTGCTGCGAGGAGCGGACAGTGTGAGCTGGGTTCATTTCCTGCTTGCTGCGTGGGATCTGCGAGACACCGAACCATCGCGAATGGACGCGGGAAGGGGGGGGTGCTGAGGGGGCTGCAGCACCCCCATCTGCAAGGCTCCACTAGCACCCGCACCCCAAACGCGGCGCACCTACAGTGTAAGCACGCCACAGTTTCGCCGCTGTGAGGCTCCACTAGCCCCCCCCCCCTTCCCGCGCGCGCATCAAAGTTTTGCTGCTGAGAGAGTGTGTGTGTGTGAGGAGCTCCACGGATTGGTCCATTTGAGGGTTTGTGACTTTGCCGACCGTTTACACGCAGAAAAAGCTACATAACACCCAAGGGGACGGGTAATAACCGGAAAAGCATGACATGGGACCTTTAAATTATTCAGCTATTTCAGGACATTGAGGCTACACATTTAGTTGTTTATACCTTTTTTAAACATTATCTTTTAAATATTAAGCTTCTTCACTGTTTCCAACTCTTCCAGTTTAACATTTCACTTTCAAGTTTTCAACAAAGTCATTGCAATGTATTTGAGCTGGAACAATTTTGATTCAAATCATTTCACTTTTCTGCCTTTCTCCGCTAAGTTCAGCAACACACTTACTTGGGTTTTGTAACTAAAAGCAGCTCCACAGAGACCGTTCAGCTAATAAAATATTCAGCTTTTTCTGCATTTTCAGCTAAATTCACCAACAACAGTTTACAGCATTCACACGCATTATCTGCAGGAAATGCATTTTCTAGTTCCATTTTCACTTTCATTATACACACATATTACAGCTTTCTCCATTTTCATTCAGCTGTATCAGCAAAGCCAACTCATAGAAAGATAACAGGAATGTGAATAATACAAATGTAAAATAAATAAGTGGAAACATAATCCAAAAGAATAGATAAGGGAAAAAACAAGATAATATAGATTCTTCTTTTTTAAAAGGCCACTTTGGTCAGGATGTTCACACCCTGGAACGGTTAGGAAGATGTGGGGCATCGAGATGGAGCGTATTTTGAAAGCACTAAACACTTCTAGCTAGGGTATTTGTCTCCTTATCCTTTCTTTTATTAAAGTAAAATACTACACTTTTCTAATAAAACATACATGTTTCATTTGATGATAACATTTAGTTTTATTAATCTGAATCTGCAAAATAACTAGTGACTAAAGTTATAAAACAAATGTAGTGGAGTCACAATTATTGTCCTCTGAATTGTACTGGACTAATATAATTAAGTAGAAATGTAATTACCTCAAAATACAACTTAAGTACAATTCTTTAAATAAATGTATAACATATCTTGAAGAACCATTTCTAGAAGAAGTTGATGGAAATGTGACATATTTTACCTCTCACACAGACAAAAGGAAACGCAGGAAGAGGAGGAACCTGCTCTGACAGAGGAGGTGAGTGTGTGCTTCTCTTTTGCTTAGCGGTTTTTTATTTGTTTTACTTATTTTATGGTTAGTGAGCTGAGCTTGTGATTTTTGTATTTAATGTCTTTCTTTCTCTGTACAGCACTGTGGCCCCTCAGAGAAAAGAGTGACCTTTAACCCCAACGTGCAGGAGCGCCCTCTGATCCCCGCCAACGTGCCGGTGACACTGAAGGAGGCGGCGGACATCGTGGTCCGGTACCTCAACCCGTTTTACTCTAAGGGGAAGTTTGCCACCAAGGTAAGAGGGAGAGATAAACCCACAACAACTCATCTCACTACCAGCCTCATAGTTTAATTTACCCAGACTGCACTCTGTTTGGCTTTTTCAATAACTCTAAATATTTAAAATCCTCATTTCATTTGATATAAAACTGCTTTGCATATCATAATGTATAAAGTAGCCTGTTATATTTTTTGGAGTTTTGTCTAGAGCAGGGGTTCCCAAACTTTGCCAGGCCAAGGATTAGCATTATCCTCTGGCGGGGACCCCCCTGTTGCAATTTTTTTTTTTTTAAATGATGAGTACATTATGATGGAAAATATGACAAATTAATCATACAGCTTAATACATTTTCTTAATATATATTTGTATTAATAATTAATAATCAGTTATTCTTCTAAAAAATGTTTTTTGTATTACCCAGGGGGCAAAACCCCATTTTTTTGGGAAATCAGACATGGAATGTTGTAGAAGGTTGTCCACCAGAAATGATATCTAGGACCTTCAAGGATCACAACCTGGGTGGACAACCCGGTCAACTAGCTACTGGAAAGCTACAGTGAGGGTCCAAACAATGCAACCCATATATGAAAAAAGTCAAATTCTGGCTGGATCAGATGCCATCATTCTCTTTCTGATTGAATATCTCTGTGACAGTTCATAGTAAAGACACACTGAGCCAACCTATTGAAAGAGCAGAACATAAGCTTTCAGGTGATGCCTTGGTTAAGCCTGTTCTCAATAAGGCCACTAGATGAAACTGTGCCTTTTTTGTCTCTCCAAAGCAAAATCCATTTCAAGCAATGCACTTGTGGTCCTCTGGATTGTTTGTTGTGTTCAAAATGGGTAATATTTATAATAATAATACATTTGATTTATATAGCGCTTTTCCTGGTGCTCAAAGCACTTAACAAGCAAGTAAAGAAGAAAAATAACAACAAAAGTGCTAAATGCTAAGCTAGGTGGAATAAGGGTGAGGGGTTAGTGGATTAGGAGTTGAAGGCAAGAGTGAAAAGGTAAGTTTTGAGGGATTGTTTGAGTGATGTGAGAGTGTTGGCAGATTGGAGTAAATATACTTAAAAGATTATTTCTATATAACATATTGAAGGGTTTACATTAATATACAGAAGGTTTACTGCCGATGCTAATTTGAATTGATTCAATGTTTACAGATTTTCCAGCAAGTGAGAGGATTTTATGCTAGCTAGCTAGCCAGCACTGTTACTGTAAACTACAATTCTTTAATAATTTGTAAATCAGTTTTACAGTGTTAACATTTAACAACCTATTGATGACGCATACCCACTTAACGGGTAGAAAGTCAGCTAACATACGATAATACTTCATAAAATACTGCAGATCCTTTATCTTACCTCTTTCTAATCTACACACATACAAGTATTTAACTGAAGTTACACAACAGTGTTGTTGATACAGAGTTGGAGTTTATTCACACGTCACTACAGTGGGTAATGTTTTCAAGAAACATTGAACAGTGCTGCCACATATGACACAGGACAAAAAGAAAAGACTGAACCCTTTCTTTGCCATTATATAAAAATAGTGTTGCTACAAAAGTATAAATTAGGCTTACTAATAAGACAACTCAGATCTGAAGCTACACAGGAATCTGCTGCCAAAGTGCAATAAAAAAAGACAACATTAATAGAATCAAACCCTTTTTTGTTGCATTTTAGTCGAATATAAAAAGAAATGCCTTTAAAATAGGATGCAAGCAACACTAGTTTCTTAACCTGAATTGATAATAGACTATAATCAATTTAAGTTTGCATTCTTATACCATTTTGTACAATAATTATAATGAATAAGTTCAAACAAACTCAAACTTACAGCTGAATAATAACGGTATCTAACTTGAGTTTTTATCATATCAAAAACCTGTTGAAATGCTTCTGTTATTTTATTACGCATCGGCAGCCTCCAGGAATTCTTCTTTCACAACTTCGCCGTCTTTGAAAGACTTCATGTGTTTCGCAAGAACGTGCCTGACATGATAAGATGCTATGGTAGCAGCCTTGCTCTTGTTGTTGGGCCTGGTGAAAATGGACTGCTGTGCATTTAGCTGTCCTTTCAGGCCCCTCCCCTTTTGGAGCGTAGGGCAGAATTAGGAGGGAATTCCGTCTCGTAGCGTTTGTGCACTGTTTTGAAATGCCGCTCCTAAATTACCCTTCTTCGATAAAGCCACGCTCGCATTGCAGATGAGACAGATGGACTTTGAATTGGAATAGATACAAAAATAATCATCCTCCCACTCGGAGTGAGAATTATATATGTTTTGCTTCTGCCATAATTGCGGTCTTGTGTGTGTGCGGACTGTCACTCCTGTTGACACGGACAACGTTAGCGAACTAGTGCACTGCCCACTGCTCACCAGCCACGCCCCGACATATGGGGTCACGCCGGCCAATCACAACGCTTTGATGCGTTCAAGTGCATTATTCTGGCACAGGAAGATTATGTTAAAGGACATTAACGATAAAACTGAATATTGTTGTTCTATTTTTAGACACATCTCGCGATCGACTGGGAATCTCCCCGCGATCGACCGGTCGATCGCGATCGACTGGTTGGGCACCCCTGCTCTAGACTGACTTATAAGATGAACCACCACAATATTATATTTTACAATTTCAATTTTATTCTTCATTTCACTTGTTTGTTCTTGTTTGTGTTTGCTCGCTTGCCCTGCATAGCTATAAGAAACACTTAAGTTGTTGGTCAAGACACTTTCCATCTGATGAAGGCAAATGCCTTCCCAGATTTAAAAAAGTAGAAAACATTACATTCAGTTATAACTGCCAAAACAAACATTATTGACACTATTATGGCCCCTGTTAAAAATGTTTGTAATGTTATCTACTGTAAGTTGGTCGAACGAATGCCTCCTCATTCGGAAGCTGACCGAGCAGAGCCGAGCAGCAGTCGAGAGGAGCAACCAGCAGGTGAGGCTTCGTTGCCCGAGCTACATACTAGATGGCCCCGGGCCATCGGGCAGTCGTTAATGTCGAGCCCTGCTGACTACTACCAAACCATGCATGCTCTCAGCATCCTCAGTGGGGCCATGTGGCGCTTGTACTGGCAAGCATTTGAGGCATGTGCAGCAGACATTGAAACACAACACTGGCAGTCACAAGTAGAACATGTTGTGAAGATGTTGTTTGAGAAAGACACCACTGCTACTGAGAAGTTAGAGATTATCCAGATGTCACGTCCACCGATATCAATCCTACAAGAACAGATATTACTTTTCCAGGAATCTCTGAATGAGCACCCAACTGCAGTTTTCTGGTCAATCTTTCTGGAGATGTCAGACATTCTCCACAGGTTAATCTACTACCAGCGGGAAGATAACTGGGCACGACATTTCTGTGAATCAGCACGAATGCTACCTTACCTCACTGCAGCAGGACACTACAAATATGGGCAGCAGTCTTTGCCTCTGTATTTGGCTGAGATGAAGAAACTGCCAGAGACAGCCACAGAGGCACATGAAGCACTGATGGCAGGTGCATTTGTTGGAAGGAGAGCAGATGGAAACCACAATGGTGTCTCTCCTGACATGCTTCTGGAGCAGACATATAATGCAGATGCCAAGGAGGCAAGTGGTCTGGATGGTATTACACTCAATCGTGCTGCCAGGATGAAGTGGGTCTACACAAAACCACTCACTGCAGCTATCTCTGCTGAGCTCAAGTCTATGCTGCACATCCATTCCTCCAGCCCCCACCATGAATCTGGTTGGAGTCATGTCAACAGAGATGCAGAGATGGTAGTCAAGGTCATGGCAGCAGTAGAGACCAACCCATTCACGACAGCCACACCATCACTGATAAATATATCAACTGGTGAGTGTAAAGTGTTGTAAAGCTAAACGCCTTCCATACACAAAACAGGATGAAACCAAAGAAGTCTGGGAAAACCTCGGCACCTGGCAAGAGCAATGAAGTCACTGCCCTTCTGCGCATGACCAAGATCATTGCCAGTGGTGGAGAACTCAACATTGTTGACTTCATAGGCAACCACGAGTGCAGTGACCTTCCTCCATCCCTCTTCCAGGAAGATGGCAGTATGAGAACAGGGTCCAAGGCAAGCCTTGTGAAGATCTTGAAAGAGAAGACCAAAGTAAGCAGCATCCCTAATCTGCCCCAAGACTGCCTCAAGACAGCAGTAGTCGTAGATGCCATGTCCACCATACAACACTGGTCTTTCCACACAGGTGAAGGATTTGGAGTGATCGATCACTGAGCGATACAGGCACCTGCTGCTGAATGATGTGCCTCCTGGCACTGACATCATACACTTCTGTTGTGACAGATACAGTACAACCAGCCTCAAGTCAGCTGAGCAGGAACAGAGATATGCCAGATCCAAACCAGCGAAAGTGTATGAAGTCAGTGAGCAGTACACAGCTCGGGATCCAAATAAGTTTGTTGCAGTGTCTGCTAACAAAGCAAACCTGCAGTGCTGAGCTTCCTTTGTGAGAAGTGGTGTGAGGATGAACAACTTGAACCTGGTCTTGGCCCCACTCATCTCTACCTGGGTGGTGGATTCAAGGAAGAGACGAAGAGTGTGGTGCTCACAGCATGGTCTGTTATGGATGTTCCTGCTCTTGAATTAACACAGCAGGAGGCTGACACTAGGATCTTCCTCCACACTCTCTACAGCAGGGGTGGGGAACCTTTTTCCTCTCAAGGGCCATTTCAATTTTTACAATATCCTCAGAGGGCCGTACAAATTATTGACCTCTGCTTAAAAAAACTAAAATCACAGCCCATTCATTTCATTCTGTGCAAAGAAAAAGCAACCTCTTAATCCAGATAACTCACCATGACTCGCGTATGCATGCACGTGCACGGTGTGGCGTGACCACCAAAACAGAAAGATGTGGAAACAAGATGTGTGCAAATGTATTTAGTTTCCTATCCATGTGAACTTGATTTAAGTGGGGGGGGGGGACCTATCCTCCTCTAGGGGGGTCCGGGGGGCATGCTCCCCCG